TATATATATATATTCAGTGCAGTGAGTTATTATATTTACTTTTATTATGAAGTCTTAAATGATTTTATCTCAGGCTTACGCTTTACATTCAGTTGAGTTATATTTCAGCCTTTTTAGTTAAGTTAATATTTCCTTCATCTATATTACATACTCATACATTTGATGTACTGACGTTGTTCGATCTCCATCTTTTTAGGATACAAATACAGGTGTTCAAGATCATCAATCGATACTTCGTTGAGATCACTTCACACTCATGATAACATTTTTGTGCGACCTCCTTGCTTTCGGAGGACTTCAATCATTTTAGTTTTTTCTTAGTTTATTTAAGGTTATTGTGAGTCTTGTTCCGACGCTTGTCTTAAAAACAGTAGAGGCTTCATAGATAGATCGTATTGAGAGTCTTTCAATATTGCTTTTGAGATACTATTACTGCACAGTTAAATTGAATAGTTTGACTTAATGATTTATTTCCATTTTAAAGCCTATATCTGCCTGTATTGTTCATTAGAAAAAGGACTATAAAATTGTCCTTGTCTTTCATGATGACCTCATTAGTGGTCTTGGATGACGATGCAATATCAGCATGATTCACAGCTGGTGATTGATCCCTTCTCCAATTATCAGAGTCAACTTCATTCCTTCTCCAGCCACCGGAGTTACCATTTCTTCTCCATGTGGTTCCCCAACTAGTTTGTAACAATCGTCCCTTGTGTGACCTTTCATCTAAGTGACACTTCTTTCCTCTGAATCCTCTACCTTTTCCTGCTTGCAGATTCAAGACCCTTGCCTACAGTGCCAAGGATTCCATCTTCTCAGCTGTCTTGGCAGCAATGTTTGCTGCAGCTACTTATTGACTCTCATTTTGGATTATCATGACATATGCTTGTCCTGAGGAAGGAATTACTGACTTCATGAAGATTGGTCATATGATTCATTCAAGCCACTAAGGAAATGGAGCAACCTCTGTTGGTTCAAATGTTCAATGTAGTCCTTCAATTTCTCACATCCACAACTTGGTGATGGACCAATACATCAATACTCATACCACAACTCCTTTAATTTTGAGAAAGAAACTGAAACAAAATTGGTACCTTGCATCCTTGTGTAATTATCAAATCCTTACTCTATTCACTTTGTCAAAGATTTCCTTCAAATCATATGTGTATTCGAAGAATAATTAAACAATCCTATTCAGGAGATGTGCAAAGACTGCGAGTCATGATAGAATAATATAATCCCATTGCTCATGGAATTGAGCATCAAACGAAGCCTTTGTCACTAGCTAATCCCAACTTCCTCTTACCTAGCAGTTTAATTCGCATCGTTCTACTGCATAAGATATAGTTTTTAGATCCGGTAAGCTTCACCGGAATAAGGACAGATCCTGAAGTATTTGCCTGGCCTAGAAACAGAGGATGATGAGTAGCATCAATCTTCACTCCTGTCATGGAAACTACAAAGGAAAGCTTCAATTGAGGATTCATGAAGGAGCATCAAATCTACTGCACTGATACCATGTGAGCAATGAGCTTGAAAACTTAGCTCAAGTTGTTCATCAATGGAGATCAATATTCTAGAGCGAACTATAGAAGAAGATATTTCAAAATTATTGATCTGAATTGTTATGTGTACAAAAGCTACGATCGAATATATAGAGTAAAATGCTAAGGTAACCGACTACACTAGCTTCACAACTGTACAATTAACCAATAATCTAGCTAATTTAACAATATTAACAGCCTAAACGGTCATGTGTTAATAATTTGTTCCTTGGGGTCTAAGCACACCTTCATTATCTTGGAGCCATGCATCAACGCGATACCTAGTACGCTTCCCAACAATTTCCCCTGGGACAACCAAATCCTACAATATGGCATCATGAACAGATGTAAGTAAGAGTTATGCTGCGGGGTCGTTGAACAGCTGAACCTCTCTTGACAGGTCTCACTATCCTCCTGGTGGCAATAAAGATATTCACATCCTTTCCTCTGAACTTCTTCTCCAATTCCCTAACAAGGCGAACATGAACCTTGCGGAAAGCTTAATTTCCTCACTCTGTAAGGTACATGGAACTATATCTTTATTTTAAAAACAATAATTATATAAACATATAATAACTTACAATTTCGAATTCCGAATTCCGAATTCGCGGATATCAGAATATATTCAATACTTTATAAAAGGAATAAGTGACTAATTAATTATGTTAGAAAGAAAAGAAATTAGACACAATGAATGAAGGAAATAACTTATATATATTGCACATAAATATATTTTGGGTTACAACTCATATAACCATCCTTCAAACAAACATCAAATTAAACCACCAAACAGAAAAAACCATGAAAGTATAGTATAAGAACATGACACATTATTATTCTTTACATGGCTATATATAGTCTTATTCAAATTACTGTACAATGTTTTTATGACACAAAATATTACGTAACACAATTTATTATTTCATGTTCATAGTGGAAGCACTTCAACAGTTGCAAGGGTCACAGTTGCAGCTTGATCCACACTTGCACCCATTTCCTCCTTCTTTTGCCTTCTCAATTGATCCTTCAGCCATTGCATTGCTGCAAATTTAATCATACAAAATAAATTAACTTGTGATATTTTGCCATTTTTACCAACTTCCCCATTTAAATTATTATAGTTGTAATACCTTGAGTTTAAATTATATGCACCAATGATTTAAAAGTTGAGTTACAAAAGTTAAGATACTACACATTACTCTCGAGAAAAGTGAGATTTGTAATCTTGAAAGTAAGACAGAGATTACCTGCTATATATGATAGGTGTATATAAAAATGGACTTTTTAGGTAATTGATCAATCCTAAAAGATATATAGCTCATTAGGAGGCTATTGTCCAAGACCATATAAGTAGACCAAGTAGCCCTTATTAATCTACTGGTGTGAACTCAATACCCACATTTAGGACTGGACATTTGGAGTGTGGATGATATAAAGATTGGAATGAAATAATAAATTAAATAAAACCTGACTCTGATACCATATAAAAAAGATATGAATCTTGAGCCTAACTAACTGATCAACCGCAGAAAAGTTAGCTCAAAAAGGGAGAATTTTCTCCCGGACCATATATAAGGAGATCATCAAGTAACCCTTAACCTACCAATGTGAGGCTCAACAAGGTAAAAGGGACATGATAGTGAAAAATAATTCTTTCAAATTTGATTGATATATTTTTTAAAATTTATTTTAATTCGATTGATATTACTTGAACTCAATTACTTTATTATAATTTATAAGTCATCTAATCATGTTAATATATTCTAGACCATAAATACATAAAACTAAAACTAACAACAAAATAAAGTATTAGTTACTTGTTCATAGGTGCAACTCCTTCGATGATGGTAAAGGTAGTGGACTTCTCCAAATCAGGGTACATGCTGCACCTGCAACAAATTCAGATACTATAACTATCGCAACTCATATTTATTATTCTCGAATTGAACTATATATATATATATATATATATATACACGTGGTACATATTTTTATGTACCATCAAACTTATTTGTATATCATAAGTTTGGTGGAAATTGAAAATAGAATATTTGAAACTAAAGTTAAAAAAAAGTATTACGAGTTCAAGACATTCGTAAAAAAAAAAAGTGAATCTTAGAAGCTCAGTTGACTTACCCTCCACCGTTACCGCAACTGCAGCTAGAACCGCAACCACAGCCAGAACCACAACCAGACATTATAATTTTTGAATTTGAAAGACTTAATAATAATGAGAGTATTTCAGAAAATTAATCAAGCAAGTAATTGATGTTTTGGTGAAATTAACAAGAAAGTTTGGGGTTTTTATAGAAGGGAAGAAGGAATTGGTCATTGTATACTTGACACGTGGACCAATAGTATGGTTTAGTGAATAACGTGTTGCAAATGTATAAAAAAAATTGAGATAAGAAGGCATTATACTTGCTTCTATAAAGATTGACTAAGCATATTATATTTTTACATAATAGAATAATATATGTCAAATTTCCATAGCTAATCCGTCCCTAAAAAAGCTCCTAAATGATTGAGTTTTCTTATAATTTGTCGCTTATATGTAGCTAAGTAAAATTAGTGTGAAATTTTTACATAATAGAATAATATATGTCAAATTTCCATAGCTAATCCGTCCCTAAAAAAGCTCCTAAATGATTGAGTTTTCTTATAATTTGTCGCTTATATGTAGCTAAGTAAAATTAGTGTGAAATTTTTACATAATAGAATAATATATGTCAAATTTCCATAGCTAATCCGTCCCTAAAAAAGCTCCTAAGTGATTGAGTTTTCTTATAATTTGTCGCTTATATGTAGCTAAGTAAAATTAGTGTGAAATTTTTATTGTTTGCTACAAAATTTCGTCCGTCGTAAATTTCTACTGGTATACAATTGAATTCAAAGTTTAGATTTTAAATTAAGAATATTTAAAAAAGAAAAAAAAGCACATTAATACTAAGAAACAAATAGCTTAACGAATATAAATTCTTGCAATTTAAAAAGTCTTATTAGTAGTAAAATAATATCAAAACATTTTGAGATGTCCCAAAGTTAAAAGAAAATGTCAAATGAATTTTGAAAAAGAGTGACATTAATCTATTAATAAAAGTAATGTGACGTTCAAGATGAAGACAATCAATCCTGTAATGATCTACTCCGGTTGTTATGGGCAGACCAATGGTGAAATAATCGGGTTAGATTTTTTTTTGGGGTAGAGACTTAAAATTCTAAGCTAGGCTAGATCAGTCTCAGATGGAATCTGAGTAAGATGAAGTCTAGAGCAATTTAGGAATGGATTGGGTGGTGTATCTAAGATTGAATCGTATTTCCTAATAGCTAAGACACTGGAGTTTATAGAGCCTTCTGGAATCAAATTGGGGTGAGTATAACTCTCGGTATCGAACTTGGCGTGAAATAGTTTATATAGAACGCCAATGATTGAAAATATGTTGCAAAATGAGGGCTCTGGGGAAAGTTTACGAATCTCTAATTTCGTGTAAGCCACTATAGCGGATGTCACGCTGCTATAGCGGGACCAATTGTGCAGACACTATAGCGGGTGGGCCGCTATAGCGGGATAAGTTGGATTTTAATCCGGAAAGTCCCAAAGCCTTTTATTTTTCTGTATTTCTTTCTTGGGAATTAAAATGAAAGGCGATTTAGGGAAATTTCCATAAGTTTTTCCATTGATTTCCTTGATAAAGGTAAGTGAATTACTTCCCTATATTGTAAATTGATTCTTAAGCCTTAGAATCTAGGATATTGCTCTTGAGGGAGGGTTTTGACTTGAATTGATGATGGAAAAGTCCTGATCGGGGTAGAATGATCATGAATTGACACGGAGTTAGGATTTGAGTATAATTCGGGTAGTTTTAGGTCATTTGTCCTTCATTATTGTGTTTTATTATTGTTTTCGACCAAGAACAAATCAAAGCATTGCAAAAAAGGCAAAGCTCAGACTCTTTAGAGTTTCCAAGGATTGATTCACGGTAGGTGACGGTTTGTTTGTTTTCCAAAGTATGTAATGTGTGCATGTTAACTGATTTGTAGTATTATTTGTGCGATACATGTGGGGAAAACTAGAAGGCTAATATAAAATGACTTCATGTGGTAATCTCATGCAGTGAACCTATTTATTTACTTGTGGTTTCAAGTTGGTTGTTCATTAATGCGATTGTGATTGTGCATGTTGTTTGTGATTGATGGTTGACTCAGGTACCACGCCAGTACATGATACTAATGATTGACTCGGATTCCACACATAGTATGAATCATTAATGATTGAGTCGGATATCATGCTGGTACACTAATCGTTTGTGTGTGGCTTTCATGAGAGGATTAGGTATGTGCATTTTGTGATCATATGAGACATGTTTCACATGCATGGGTAAGTCAAGGTTGTGATTGAGAATCTGTATTATGTTGTGTCTGTTGGTATATGTGTTAACATGTATTACTATTTTGTAGTTACTTGTTTACAATCATATTTTGGAAATGGCAGTATGATCCTATCAGTACACAGTGTGTACTGATACTGTACTTACTCTTTTCTTTTTGAGTTCAGGGGATATTTAGGTGGTTGATACGAGACCTCAGTTGAGAGATGCGTGACCTTCGAATCCAAGGGTAAGTTGCTCTTTTGGACTGTCATGGATTCTTCTCCATTTCTTAGTCTATCTTTTCGGACTTAGACATTTCAGACTTTAGTTTATTGTTTTCTAAGTTTTCGGGGTTCCATCATCATTTTCGACTATTTAGAGTTATGGTACTATGACTTTTTATATTCTAGAGAGTTAAATTTTGCAAATGGATTTTATTAAATGATGGAGTTTATGGAAACTCTAGTCTTTATCTATTTTTAACTGTTATTTCGTTGTTTTATTTCATGATTTGATATCTATAGTAAATCTTGATTGGTTAAGTTGGGTTAGTAAATTAATTTTTTCACCGAAGAATTAGTATGGATATCACTCAGTGACAAGATCGTGACAAATCCATCTATATATTTCGACAACTATAAGATCCTCAATATATAACTATTTTGAGTAATGATTCAAATCATTTTCATTATAATTTATATGTTTCTTAAAGTGAATTTATTAGGAGTTCTTCAAAATTCAATCAAGAAAATAAGATAAAGAGATAGTATTAAATTTGCAAAATTATTTTTCTTATGATACACGATATGTTGTTTGAAACATTCTATGTTGACATGTTTGGGTTGGCTATCAATATTCATTATATTAATGTCATAAGTTCAATTAATTGGTGTCATGACTTTGAGAGATTTATTGAAAGTGATCTTTTACCTATTTAATATGTTACAACTTGAGTCGATTAATCCTAGGAGCAAAATAACTTGGTCGATTAATCTAGACCATTTATAAATGATGCACTCAATCCTAGGAGCAAGCAACATAATTTGATTACACACTATTAGAAATAAAGATTTTTTAAAAGCGTGAATTAAAGAAAAATTTAACATAATTTTTCTACTCATTTCGTATTGAATCAGTTCACCGATAAAATGAACGATGACAAACAATTTTTTGCTAAAATAGTGAAAAACTTTCTAATTTGACCGGGAATTTACGCATGGAATCTTCATTTTTTTTGAAATAAAATTTATATATTTGTAAACTACATAAAAAGTACTACAAGTCACAATAATTGAAAATTCAAAATGTTTAAAAAATCTATGAAAATTTTACGGTCAAAGATAGACTTGTTTGAATCTTGAAATTCGAAAAGTGCCACATAAAATGGAACAAAGGGAGTATTATTTTTTCTTTTCTAATCAATTCAATCAAAATATCCGTGACAACAGCCGCTCAATATTATTGAATGGAAAATTTCAATCAAGTTTCATCGTATCATTCTGTGCAGAGCATGTATTTGAAAATTGAAAATCAACCCTTAGATTTTGTCTTTAATTTTAAATATTAAAAAAAAAAGATATCATCCAAACATTATTCTATTAATACAATATTTTACACACCTCGTACAATTACAATATGTCACTTTATACCTAGTTATATATTGGAAAATGTACTAGAAAAACATTTTCCTTATAGTACGTGACGATAACGATATTTTGCTTGGTTCGTCATTGCTTAGGGAAAAATAAATAAAAACTTTATTAGGAATTAGACTTGAGTGAAAATTTTAAGTTTATATGACTAAAGTCAAACTCATATTTCTCTCCATGAGAAGATAACTAGTATGTTGTATTATCTACAAAATGAGGTTTTGCATTCGAGTTATAAGAATGAAGAAATTTTTGATAGAAAGTATTTGTACTCTTTACTAAATGACAATAATTTGCCACTCTTTTTTTACTATATAAAACCGAATAATGATTTATACATGTGAAAGCAAAATGAAGGAGTTAATATTTCAAAAGATCACTAAAATTTGAGAATTTATCTAGCAAAGTCATTGAACTTTGTTTTGTATCAATAAAATCACTCAACTTACACTTTTGTATAAAAAAAATCACTCAACTTAATCTTTTGTATCAATAAAATCACTTCACTAAATTTATCATTGATTTTTTTTTTGATATCACAAAATAGTTTTTTTTTATGCCAAGTATACATTAATGGAGTTTAATTATTATGCATTTAATTAAGCAACAAATAAAGGTCTCCTGGTTTGGATATATATCACGGGTATAATGTTGATTTAGTGTGTTAATCCTATTAAATTAAGCGAATACATTAATAATTATGGCTGTCACGTCTCATTTGCAGTGAAAGTTTTGTAATTAAATTACTTCATTAATAAATGTATGCATAGCATAAAAAATAACTACGAAAAGGAAAAAAAAATTCTGTGTAAAGCGCTGACTAATTTGTTTATCAAACTTCTCAATATTCATTGCTAGGTTAGGTTTAAGACTTTAAATTATCACCAACAAATAAGGGCTCCTAGGTGGGATATATCACGGGTAAAATGTTGGTTTAGTGTGTTAATCCTATTTAAAATTAATAATTAAGGTTGTCACGTCAACAATTCCAAAAGTTTTATTATTAAACTTAATATATATATGGCATAAAAATAATTTATTTTATTATATCAAAACAATTTTAATGATAAATTTAGTTAAATGATTTTATTGATACAAAGGTTAAAGTTGAGTGATTTTATTGATACAAAACAAAGTTTAATAACTTTATTAGATAAATTCTCAAAGTTGAGTGACCTTTTAAGATATTAACAAGATAATGAAAAGTATACAAAATGGTGAAGGAACACTTGTATTTTCAGAAGTCTAATAAATAAGTG